ATTGGCCATGCTAAATTGCCCCATAGTGTCCAGGGATGTGCGGGGGGGGGGGGATTAGCCGTGGGGAATGCAGGGTTACAGGGGTAAGGTAGGGGAGTGGATCCGGGTGGGACGCTCTACAGAGGGTCGGTGTAGACTCGATGGGCCGAATGGCCTGCTTCCACACTGTAGGGATTCTATGATAAAAGTACTTTTTTTTAAAGATTGTGAGGTTGCCCATCTTAACTACCTTCCCAGGCAGTAGATTCCAGACTCCCCCCACCCCCTCCCACCCCCACTCCCACCAACTTCTGGTGTGAAAAATGTTTTCCTCCAATGCCCTCGAAACCTTGCACTTTAAAATTCCGAACCTTCGTTATTAACTGAGGGGAACAGTTGCCTCGCAACTACCCTGTCCATGCCCCTCATAACTGTAGACAATCCTGGGACCCTCCGATCAGGTCTACAACACAGCAAAAGTTGCGGTGGGTGTGTCTCTTTAATGACCCCGTTGGGTAAATACTATCGGTGCTCAACAAATCTGTGCCAAGCACGAACGCAGATTTGTGAGCAACGAACGGTCCAATAGGAATTTTGCGAACTTTTTTGTCTCGGGTTGAAGACTGACGGCGTTTGGTCCTGCTCACTGGTAAACACGATTGAAAAAAAAAAGGAAAATAAAATTAATCGAGTTTCGAAAAATATGTTAGCGAATGAGAGGAAACTCAAAATCCTTAACAAAAACTACACAAGGTTAAGGTCATTTCCAAAACAACAAACAACATTTTTAAAAACACCCAAGGGTGTTGGGGATATCAGAAAAGAGCTTTTTGTTTTAAAGCACTGAGCTGGGATGCACAGTTTCAAAAATTCAAAAGAAACAAAAACAGAAGTTGCTGGAAAAGCTCAGCAGGTCTGACAACATCTGTGGAGGGAAATCAGAGTTAACGTTTCGGGTCCGGTGACTCTTCCCCAGAACTGGGAAAATTCAAAAGGAAATTGGATAAATAATTGCGGAGGAAGCTACGTTTGAGAGGCTTCATGGGAGAGCGGGACTAACTGGAAAATTCCCTCAGACAGCTTCCCTCCCGGTCTGTTTGGGGACGTTTAAGGGTTCCCTTCACACACTCCTGGAATCAGATCCGCTTCGTTCAAGCGAAATCCCGCGGATGCTAGTAATAAAGTTCAAAAAAACTAAAACAAAACCAGAAAGTGGTGGAGAAACTCGGTATTTGTAGAGAAAGAGACACAGGGCTAATGTTTTGCGTGCAGTGTAACAAAAAAAAAACTAGCTTTGTCTCTCAAACCCCCATCACCTCTAACCTGAGCCAGGTTCACTTCACTTTATAGACACCTTGAAGCAATGGCAACAGTTGAACATAGAAAAAGGAATAGGCCGTTCAGCCCCTCGAGCCTGTCCCGCTAGTCCATCCGTGTGACTATCTGTCTAAACGGATTGCATATCCAGTAATCCTACATTAAAATGATAAAGAATCCTGTTCAGGAAAGAAAATAAATGGATCGGACAGTGCACTCACTTTTAAACCCATAATTCAGTAAGGCGGGAGGCGAAAGTAATCTGTCCCTCGGAAAATGCATTTTTCACTGCAAGCTTGATTTGAAAACCGAACGAATTTCGGAGAACAAACGGTCAGGAGTGAAACAGAATAATAAAATTATCAAATATACGAAAAAAACGAAAGAACTCCGGATGCTGGTAATCAGAAACAAAAACAGAAATTGCTGGAAAAGCTCAGCAGGTCTGGCAGCATCTGTGGAGAGAAATCAGTAAACGTTTTGGGTTCAGCGACCCTTCCTCAGAATAAATAATCAAATATGAATCGAGCGAGAGAGTTGGGTGGGGGGTAAGAGGATGAAAGAAAGGAGTACTGTTCTCGACACAGTTGCGGTGCGTTCTTGACCGCTGGGTATCCAGTAGTTTACCGCGATTAGTCTATTACTGAGTGTGCGTGTGTGTGGGTGAACGAGAGAGAGAGATGGTGGATCGAATAGCCTCCTCTTGCATGTAATAATTCTGTGATTGTGCGTATGTGCGCGCACAGACAAATGGGCCGAATAGCTTTCCTTTGCACAGAAATAATTCGATTGTGTGCGCACACAGATCCAGTGGCCGAATAGCCTCCTATTGCACACTGACAATTCTATGGCTGTGCACACACATTGACAGTGGGTCGAACGGCCTCCTCTTGCACAGTAATGATTCTGTGATTGTGTGTGCCTGTGCATGTGTGTGTTTTTGTGTTGTGTCTGTACGTGTCTGTGTGTATGTGTGCCTGTAGGTGTCTGTATCTGTATGTGTGTCTCAGTGTCTGCGTGTATGTGTCTGTTAGCGTGTGTGTCTGTGTGTCAGTGTCTAAGTGTGTCTGTATCTGTCTGTGTGCGTGTATGTGTCTGTGTGTATGTGTCTGTCTGTGTGCGTGTCTGTGTGTGCGTGTATGTGTCTGTGTGTGTATGTGTGTGTGTGTCTGTCTGTGTGCGTGTATGTGTCTGTGTGTGTGTCTGTCTGTGTGCGTGTCTGTCTGTGTGTGCGTGTATGTGTCTGTGTGTGTATGTGTGTCTGTCTGTCTGT